GGGAATAAGTGGATCGGTGAACTCGGACAAAAACAAACCGTAAGCTCGAAATCAGTTTCGGCTGTTTGTATAAAAGATTATAACACTGAAATAAACCGACACATTTTTCAAGAAAAGGCAGCCCCAGAGTATAGAACGGTCGACTGAATTGAAGGCCGTTTTTAGATGGAAGAAAATGAGAATGGTGATTAGACAAAAGGAATTTCCGTGTAGTAAAATTTCGTGGGGTGTGAAGATGTGATCGATACAACCACGACCAGGTCTAAAAGCAGCCTGGTTCTCACATGAACACCGTTCACGTGCAGCAGATAATTGATGGAGTATGATGCCCACGAGAAGTTTAGAAATCATGTTGATCAAATTAATTTATCTACTGGCACCTACGTTTTAAATCGGATAACAATAGTGAACATCATTATCATACGGCGAAATACAGTGAAGCGAACTTCACTGATTGTTGCCAAACTCGTAGTGCAATTTGTGTATGCATTGGGGTTTGATGCACGGGTACTGGTAGGTTATCCAGCCACTAAACAGGAGAATGCTTAGGGTTCTCAACCAAAGCCTTTTGGTCCGACAAGAACCTAACCGCAAAGCAGCGTGTGAAGAGAAGTGGAGGGCTATTTACTTGGATCTTACTCCTTCTCTATTTTTTACCGACTGAGAAGTAAATTCTAGTCCAACCCCCAAATTTGGAGGACCAGAAAAATGGACTTCGTCCGCCCTCTACCCATTGACCTTTCAGGCATGACAAAAGCCATCCTGTGTAGGTCGTTGGGTTGAAGAGGTGCACAAGTGATCACACCACGTCAACGTGCAGTCTCGTCGTGATGGAAAAAGAGTGCACGCTGATGACGGGGGTTCACAATTTAGGAGAACCGGTTAGTTTGTAGTAGACCGTTTACGAAGGCAATGTTCACGTGGGACGCAAACCAATTCATGAACGAAGCAGTTCGGGACGGAACACTGGACGAGAGGAAGCGGGTGAAAAGGCAACTGTGTGGTAGTCAACAAGCACACTGCCTATTTGGATAAAAGAGTACAATGAAGATTGGACTGTTGACAGCAGAGTCAAAGTGAAGATAGAGAATTCAAATAGACTGGAACTGCAAGAATAATGAAAAGATGTAGGACAACCAGCCATATCGCAAAATGTCTCTAACCATCGGTAATCATGATCTCGGGATCCCTATCCAGATCTGCCTAACGGCAATCATGTTGCCTAGTGTCCTGGTAAGGATTTTCATATCCTCATGCCAGGTCTTAGTTTGACCACCCTTTATTTTTTCCAACCGCTACCTGCCTCAGTAAACATCGCTCGCAGTGGCAATCTATCTGATGACATGCGTAACACATGCCCCAACCAACGTACTCTATGGAGGTCGACCGCTTGCTTCGGTGGACGACCGCGACTACCTGACTTCATCATTGCTTGTTCGATTACCTCACCAGACTCGTGCAATGCTACGTAGACAGCGGTGTTCGAACACCGACAATCTATTTTTATGCTGTTCCAGTGGTGGCCAAGTCTCTGCACCGTAAAGCAGGACTGGTCGAACTGTTGCAGCATATACTCGACCCTTCACAGACAGCCGGATTTCACGACGGCGCCACAGATGTCTCAAGTTGGCAACGGACAACCGAGTCTTTTTATGCGCACCAACACTTGATCTGTGGTGCGTCCGCTAGGTTAGATTTAGCTGCCCAGATTGCGAAATTTGTCTGCTTCCTCTACTACTTCCCCAGTCAGGGTAAGCTTGGGTGCCGGAATAACTCAATCTTGGAGCAACATTTTACACTTTGAAGGTGCAAAACGTATACCGAACATGGCTACACTAGAACTCAAACTACCTAGATAACCTTGCAACTGGGTAGCACAGTGTCGTCTGCATACTCTAGATCAGACAGTCTGCCACCTGGGAGTAAATCGGTATTGTTCTCCCCGCAGGAGGATAGAGCTGTTTCAAGAACTAAACGCATGACAAAGTTAAAGAGAAACGGAGAGAGAGAAGGCAATCCTTTTGAACAACACTTTCTGTGGCGAAAAGGTGTCGTAAGCTTGGACTCGGCTTTGGCTTTTAGTATAAAGAGATCAAAAAATTGAAATTAACTTTGAGACAATGTCGATCAAACTAATTCCCCTGTGGTTTTTTACAAGAGAATCTGACGCCCTTCTTGTAAATCAGTGTGATCACCGAATCGCAACATTCACTTGGAACTTGTTCCCACCTCTCCCACACTGAGTCCGAGTGTTGTAATGAGTATTAGTGATGCAGACCCGACGGGTCAAATCAGTTAGTCAACCGATGTTTTCACCAGATATATCTGTATGGTGAACTGCAAACCATATAACCCGCTATATAGTCACGATGTTCTGTTGTTCCGCATTGTTTTAATCGGACGTAATGATCATCCGTCAAACTGAGGGATGATCAAAATGACCAGACGCGCACAAGCAGTAGTAGAATGACAAAATCGAACCAGAGAACCGTAAGTTCGAGCACGGAAAATCTGTATTGCATGAGGGTCATCCACTCTATTGTAGGCCAAATTAATTCGATTTCAATCTTTGAAACCTGAACTGTGAACACGGCCAGTATGTGGTTCACGGTAGGGTTTTTAAATTGCGGGATAAATTCAGCGACAATCAACCAAAGTACAGGAACCAGTAGTATTTAGGTTTTGATAAACAGGGATAAGGTTAGAAGTGCGCACCATAATGAATGTGAACTCATCGAATCTCGGACGTCCTGGTCAAAACGAAAATGTACGAAACACACGAGTTTTGAAGGGAGGGTTGATTAGACTTCGCTAGACTGTACATGAGAGCAGACTTGGCGAGAAAGTACACTGTAATTACACACTTGTGGGAACAATAGCAGACCGGATCAATCTCATGGTCACGAGGACCTACCGTTCAATCGTGAAAACCGGCAACCTAAGCTCCGGGACTTTGAGTGTAGATCTACATAAGGCCCCACTAGATTACGCGTGGTACTCAGCTGGACGACAGGGAAACTGACAACCATCAAATTTTCTGGCGATTGTGGTGCAACTGGAACCTCGGACTCTAACCGATGACAGTGACTTTACGTGGTGATCTTAGCCTCCGAGATAACGTCGACCAAAAGAGCAGCGAGTTAAAGCTTCTGGACAATAAAACATACGGCAATAGTGTCGACCAATCCGAAACCGTGCAGTTCAAAAAGAGGCTATGACACCGAGAATAAAAGCAGGCGTTTTGTAAAGCTCTGTTTAACGAATGACGTTCCTGTGTACATACTTAACCCCACTGATTTCTCTCAATAAACCAACCGCTATTTCTGTGGTTTTCGTCCTGCATCTCATTGACGGAAGTATCCGGTATATGATGGCCAGTCCGATCTCGTACTTCATCTACAATTGTGATTCGTGATGCATATCTATTCCGATTGTAACACTTAAACCGCTTGACCATCATCCCGCTTAACTAAGAATTACATCAGGCTTGAGGAATGTGCACTCACCAGTCTGATGAGAATGTCGTGTGGCGTATTCTGGAACAAAAATTTATTGATATTCAGCTTGACAAACCCCTGAGAGATATTATCCTCCAAACAATTCATCAGGAACTGAATGGAAAAAAGGAGTGTTGTGCAACTGTTCCCACCTTGTGTAGTATTGTAGGTGACATACACTCACCGAACCCTACAGGTAAAATACAAACATACTAGCCATCGACCCACTGAACCGAAACAAGGGGCCTGATCAGTGGTGAATTGGTCTCAGATCGGACTACAACGAAACCATCTGTTAAGAAAGTTTAGTGGAGCCGGAATACCTTTATTCTATGTGTCTAACTTGTGTAAGCTTATATGCCTACATTTCAGTGAAAAATGTGCACTGGTCATCACAATAAATAAAATATGCAGATTCGTGTAACATGTAACGTGAAGAATGTCGCTGAAGTTTGGCTTATGTAGACAAATTCTAACGTAATGCAATGACGATCTGCTCCTTATTGGTTAGGAGTCGGACCAAGTAGGGTGCAAGAGAATTCTTATGAATGTTAATATGAGAGGGTAGATGCCGAAAAGATTACAGTCAAGGGTGAGCGGGCCCATCAGAAATGAAAAGCGGGAAAAAACTAAACATTGGTCAGATTGGTTAGAAAACTGTTGGATTTGGGATAGATTTTCATCTAGGGAATCAAATTCCGAAGAAGAGGAAATTGTCTGATACAAAACGATACCGTCCGCATAAGTTCGGATGTGTGCCGGGGATGGAAGATCGAAAACTCTTTAATGAACGCAGAAGAGTGATGGAGGTAGAACAGCATTTTGAAGCGCACCGGAATGATTCAGTAGAAGAAGTTTGGATGTAATCTAGCCCGGTTTGTTGCCTCAGACCCTTTCTGTGAAATAGTCAGAAAGCCATGACAGAAGCCGTCTTGGAGTGCCACAACACTCAAGCTTGAAAAGATGGGATGATCCAGAAACGGACTCAAAGGTAGACAAACGGCCAAGAAAAACGACAAGCAGATCTGGACGAATTGCGTAATGACTTACTGATAGAATTGATTAAGGTGGACAACGTATCCAGTGTAGATCTGCTGGGTTTATGTGCAAACTGGAGGGAGTGTAAGAGGATTGTGGTGATTGACTGCAAGCGACTTCGGGTGGCCTTTTCAGTCCACTTTAGCGCTGCCGAAGTCAGCGCGATAGGACAAAACCGTTTCGCAAGAACAGTTTAGGACAAGGACTTGGGGGTTGGAAGTACAGTAACCTGACGGCAGGAATCGACCGAGAAGATTGAGACTCTGTAATGAGGGATTTCATCGAATTGGCTAGGGAAGTTGCTTCAAATTTTAGAAGCTCCGAAGGGAGACCATTGGGACCTGCAATCGAGGATGCTTTGGTGAACCAGAGAAGCTTACAGATTTCAGTAGTAGAAAAGCACACTGGATTTGATTTCATTAAGGCCAAAGTCACACTTGTGATAGTGNCCCCCCCCCCCCCAGAGTGCAATCCTTTCATGTGATAGACAGCTTCCTTATTGTCCAGGTTAATAGCATATCTTTCTTTTATACAGTATTCTTTAGTGTGCCTTTCCAAGTCCAAGGGCTCCAGATATCATTTTTCATAAGCGAACTGTATGTCCTTGTAATTCTGGGAACTATCCATTCGACAGCTGATCCCACTGACGTATGGAAAGAAGAGTAGATAAAAATTGTTTCTCTTAGACACTGTGCAGGAGATCCTGGCTTCACTCCGGATGTTTTCGATATTCTCTATTTGACGGTTTACGACCTAACGTAAGAGACAAATTCCTTGCACATGGTTGGGCTAAAAGAAGAGATTTTAGTGTGTGTGTGTGTGTGTGTGTGTGTGTGTGTGTAGGGGGGGGTGAAGAATAACCAGTCCATGGTTTGAATGACTGGCCGAATGGGTCAAAGATGCATATCTCTCAAGTTTGAATGTGTTTGCTGAGAATTGAACGGTATCCCTAGTAGTATCCTGAAAAGGAGGCTTAATGTTATTTTTGATAAGTTACAATAAAAAAGGTAGGCTGAACAATATGAACTCTGTGACAGTCGTCTTCCTGTTAGGATGAATAGAAAAACAAGTGGGAATTGTGAGGCTTACTTCGCATGCAAAGCTTCCCATTTGAGAATCTCTCGCCAAGCAATCTCGTTGTTCAGATTGTGAATACGAATGATATGTTCCATGTCATTCGGTGAGATATCCTCGTCCCGCCATCGCCAACCTTTGCGTAGCATTGCGTTCCAGAACATTTGTGGAGACGGATAAACCCATTTTCCCTGCTCGGAATCGCCAGCTTTCGGAATCGAGGACACTTCCCGATCTGTGGATAGTGGGAACGGTTGACCGGGGCTGGGTATCTGATTAGCGGGTGGCATCTAATTGCAAAAAAAAAAAATGAGTCCCGATGAAAAGTAATTTCCGATTGGTTGATCAAATCGATATCTGGAGGCGAAAAACCCCCTCCGAGGGCATAGCCGGACAGTCAGCTCAAATGGGAAACCAACAGAAATTGCAGTTCCGGTGGTTTGGTGGATCGTACCGCTTTATTATTTCGGCCTATTCACGGACAGAGTACTGCAACACACTTTATTTCGCTATTTAATATATATATATATATATCACACGTCTGAGGTCAGACTGTGTGCTAAACAAATTATGGTACAAAAATCTTTATAATAAAGAAAAGCATTCCATGATTTGCTGAATACTGCTAGGTTGCTCAGGCCAAGGCAGGTGAATTTTCTTCAGGATCCACAACCGGAGCAGTGTGTGAAAACCGCAATCCATTGGGGGCCGGTGTGCAGTTTTTCGGATCATACGCCCTTTGGACGGGGTCAAACGCCCAATACACCTCGATGCCCAATCGAGCCGGCGACCACTGCCACACCGAGGAGGGTGTGGGTGAGTGTGGTTCGTACGCCTCTTCTTGGTTGATTTGAAATCAGGGTTTTTAGCCAACTACCCTAGGTGAACTGTCTG